ATTTAATATTATTTCAGATAAAAATGATAAAAAATAAATTATCAATTTTTTATCAGGGATTAAAAACAATACCTGTCTTGAATCAAGATATATTGTTAACATTAATGTGAGCGATATCATTATTCTCCTTTGGATATGCATTTATGAATAAATTTACATAACTTTACATCTCTTAAATACTTTTATGAAATGAAAACGTTTATTAAATAAGTACATAAAACACCTTTTTATTTTAATATATATATATCTCTATATAAACTTATTTAAAATAAGATAATAAATGCCAAACATATTTCGAACCAAAAATCAATTTCATTTTCTTTAAGGATCTTAATGGATCCAGGATCATTATTCAAAGCAGCTAATTTTAAATATTTTGTTCCTGATTCGATATCCTTTATACCTAATATCTTTCCATTAAAATATATATCACCTAAATTATATTGGGCTGCGATATTACCACCATTTGCTGCCTTTGTAAGGTATGGAACAAAAACTTTGGGATCAAATTCAATTCCTGGTGTGTTAAATAAAGAAAATGCATAATGTAGTTGAGCATCTGCAATTCCATCATCAGCTGCTTCTTTGAAAAGTAGGTTTGCTTTAACAAGATCTTTTTTCCCTAATAGTCCTTCCGATAAATAATATCCCATCCAATATTTAGCCACTGTACTATTAATTTTAACATTTTCCTCGAAACATGACCATGCTTTTTTATAATCTTTATTCTTATGAGCTTCAATACCTTCTTCAAGAGGTAATATTGTAGGTAAAGTAAAGTTTTGGAATGAATCTGGAAGTTCTTTTGTTGATGTTCCGATAGATATTGATTCTATCACTTGAGATCCATATAATGATCCAAGAGGATTTAATGTTGGTGAAGTGTCCATCTGTTTATTCGCGGCCAATTTTTGAAGTTTTAAGAAAATTTGCATTAGAGATGCTCGAATATCAATATCCTGTTGCCAAGCTTTAATATAGAATGAATAAAAAAATATAAATAATAAATAATTTAATCAAATACAATATAAAGAATAA